AAGGTTTCATATATTCCATGATTAATACTATGACAATAAGGCCTATCAAACAGATTTCTGTTAATATTAATCAGTTAAAAAAAAGGTACTGTGGCAATAAATTTATACAGAATAATCAAACAAAGCAGCAGCTATCAGTGCCCAAGCAGTGCGACACAAAGAGGAATGGTTTAATAACCTCGGGTTTAACAGTGATTTATGAAGCGGGAGACTATAATACAAGTGAAAATAATGTAAAACAATAGGCATATTACAATTTATTAAATAAAATTTGTAGTCTAAATCAGAAATTACTCTGGTAACAATTTGCACTGTGTGTACGAGAGAACTGAGAGTAAACACGTTTATTACATAAATTTCATTTAATTTCTAATTCTAAATCAGTTGGAAGCCTATCTAACAGAACGGCTAAACTGCCTTCTACTGCTTAAAGTGGGCACTTGTCAACACCAGAAATCAAACCAATGATGCAACAAAAGCTCAATCTTGTAGAAACTCGCCCAAAGACAAATTCCTAACATTTACTGGAATGAGGAAGTGTAGTTAAAATTACATTGTTAGTTACGTTTTTGAACACCTGATGTAGCAGTATTCTGCAGGTCAAATGTGAACAGATAAAGCACCCTTTCAAAAGTATTTTCTAGTAAGAGTTAATTGCTTCAAAATTATTTCCATAGATCCAATTTACATTCAAGGGGTAAACTTAACACAAAGTCCTTCAAGTGCCTATAATAAAAACAGCACTTAATTTACTTTATAATAATGTGTACTACCACACTGATTATTAACCCTTTCTAAAGGACAAGAATATCTTTCGGTTAATTTTAGGAAATTTTTTTTATCTATATGCGTAATTTTTTAGCACAACCCAATTGCAATACCCTCTACTCTAATGTATGGTGTTGTTAATACCTGTCCTGTATCGTCTGTCCATAAAATCCAGTTATGCTTCAAATTACGCTACCAGCTAGCAATGTTTACAAAATGAAAAAGAATTAATTTCACAGTGCATCAAAAAAGATTAAAACTCATCCACATCAAGAAAGTTTTATTTTAATTAAATGTAAGATTTAAGTAATTAAGCATATAACTCTAATATTTGTGACGACTGTCTGCACTTAGGGCAGATGTTACGGAGGTGTTGAGAACACTGCCAGCATACCACATGGTGGCAGGCCTCAAAGCACCTCAAGAAACCCTTGTAAATACGGTCTAGGCAGACCGGACACACCAACGGCTCAAAATGTTCGTCTGGCCGACGATGTCGGTTTAGGCAGCCCTCGCCTCTTCTACATACGCCACGAACAAAGTCATTACATAGAGGTCGAACATTTATTGCGCGACGGATCTCAATTGCGATATCTCTGGTTGCCGGATCGTTTCGGGTTGCAATTCTCTGCTCCGCTGCCGAAACATGTACAAAACGGCAGTTAGGGCCCCTCGTGCACACACCCCTTTGAAAGTCTCTGCAAAAGTTAAATGGCACATAGCCAGTCCTGCTTCTATTTACTGCACTCATGCCCAACTTCAAGCACACAGCAGACAATGTGCGAAAGAAGCAGTAACACGACAATGGCAAAATTAATACACAACAAACGCAAAATCAATATAGGAGTATAACCAACGCAAAATTAATGCACAACAAACGCAAAATATTTCAAACAAACGCCAAAATATTAACATATCATTCTAACATAAATTGCGCTTCGTGCGGATAAAAAAATAAGAATATAAAACGATTCACAGATGCTCTAGCACTTTAGCACTCTAGCAAGCAAATGGCAGGTCGCAGGTGCGCTTAGGAGCGCGCATGCGCAACGTCGGCCGTCGTCAAAGGTCGCAAACGTAAAGTTGTTGCAGAGTGAAGTTAGGTACAAATTTAAAGTATATACAGGGTACGGTCGAAAATTTACTCAGATGAATACTGCAATTGCACAAATATGCGGTTATAAATTTACTTGTTTGCTTCGTTTAGTTTGAGCACTACTATTGCGATTACGCATGCGTCTTGTCGTGCACAATTTACTGAAATTGCTTCTGGAAAATAAACGGTCTGGAAAAGTAAACGAGTAAACAGCTGATTTTGACATTTAAACATGGCGGCGAACACGAGGTTAAGGAATTAATTTTAATAGACAAGGTGATAAATTTCAATAGTTGTATCGTTAATAATGCATTGCACATGATTTTTTAAGAACACGTCTATAGGTGTCATAAAATCAGTGGAATTATGTTCGCACAAACAAAAAAAATCGCGTTATCACTCGTGATTACAAAGAATTGCTTTCTCACACTAGTTTTTTCGTAAGTTTATCAAGTTATCTAAGTTTTCTCGAGGTTTTTTTTAAAGTTTTTCTAAGTTTACCCAAGATTTAAAAAAAAAATTATCCAAAAATTTTCCGAGATTTTCCAAAGTTTCTTGATGTTTTTCAAAGTTTTTCAAATTTTTTCGATGTTTCCAGAAGTTTTCCAAATTTCCCCGAAGTTTTTCCGAATTTTCAGAACTGATGTAGAAATTCAACTTATATTTTCATAAAAGACGTAGACATAGCTCCCAAGATATTGAGAAATTCCAAATAATTTCGCTTGGTTCGATAATGTACCTTTAATTTAAAAAAAAAATATGTCGATAGCTTCAAAATTACTATGAAAAAACTTGTCTACAAATTTTACCCAGACGGACGGACAAAGTGCGGATAATATTGCTTCCACTTTTGTGAGAAAGCAATAAGAATGTTGGTGTGGTACAGCACACGACTTTCTTATTAAAAGTACAGTAAAAAATTTGGTGACAATGTTATGTTAGTTTTCAATATAATTGAAAAAACCCTTAAGGGCTTCAAATACTCCTACTCCTACGCGTAACCCGATTTTGCTCAAAATAAAATATATATCTTAGATAATAACAAGAAAAGGCAATATATAAAATTTGGTGAAAATATTTGCGTTAGTTTCTGATATATTTTTAAAAAACCCTTAAGGGCTTCAAATAAAGTACCTTTATGCGTGGTCCGATTTTGCCCAAAAGTTGATACGTCCTTACTTTTTGGCTAAAAAGCTTATGTTTTAAATTTCAAATTAATCGGACTTTTTGTTTTTTCCAAAAATTGCTTAAAATGACTTAAAAACACCTAAAACGTGTAATTCCGTTAAAAAATCGACATCGAAATTTTTTGCCATCACCATACTTTCTTATACAACCTTATAGGCTTTGCCTAAACGTTGTGTAAGAAAGTAACGAGTTGGTTACGCCATCTTTACTCACACACGGTCGCAAACTTATTTTTTCTATTTGGATGTTATAAAGTCTACTTTATGACACTCGTTTGGATGTCATAAAGTTCGATTTTAAAGACCTCAAATTTTTTGCAACAAATTTAAATTACAATTTAATTTAAAAGACGCGATTGATTTCAAAATGTCAATAGGTAAATACTGTCAACAAATAAACTGCAAAAACACTAATTTCTAATGTTTTACACGTATATGTAGCTATGCACATCAGTATATTACTATTAAATTAAATTTTGTTTTATTTGTAAAAACCCAAATAGAAAAAATAGAATAAGAAACACGTTTCATAAGACATTTTATCGCACTCGTTCTTTAGATGAATTTTCTTTTATTTTTTTTTATGTAAAAAAAATATATCCAATATAAATATTTTTTTTCGCAATCATGACAGAAAGAACAATTTTTCGCTGTATTATAAAAGCGCAAAGTGTCACTTTGTCGCTCGCCAAGCGATAGTCATTTTGTCGTTCGCCCATCGATTAGACAGCGTCAATTTATTTACATGTATACAACATCACATAATGTAGTTTCTAAACTTATTTATTCATAATATTAAATGTACAATTATTATTGTTATGAATAATAAACTCTAAATGGGATGGAACTACGAGGTTTCGTAGCAAATTAAAAGTTGAAGTTCTGGTTGAAGTGTTTTTGTTGTTGTGATTGACAAACACTATTACAACTGTCAGGCGCATACTTGATATTAAATTACTATTAATTATTATTGAAGTAATAAGTAGAAAGAAGTAAAATCAATTTTTTGTCTTTGTGTCATGATAAATATTGTGTGCATTTCGAGCGCAAAGTGCGGTTGTCGCTCTTGCGAGTTTGCCGTGCTCCGGCTACGCCGTCGCGCGTCAACAACTCGCCGAGCGACAACTATGCACTTTGCGCTCTTATTACACAAATAGCTATATAAATTATACAGTGTGGCAAGTTGACAGCGGAACATAGGGAAATAACATGGGAAAATGCATTTTCGGCATTTTCTGCTCCCCATTTTCTCCTACAAGAAGAATTCCATACCATTGGATAGATAATTAAAACCTCCATCAAATTTCATAAAAATGCGTAACTTAAGTTCTTGCGTAAGTACACCGTTCGAGAGAAAAATGCGTTAAGGCGAGATAGAAATATTATAGGTGGAGCGTAATGCTTTGCTCCACCATTTCGATTTTTGGATATAAAATCAATAATAAGGGAAGGGGAAATTAAGGCAGTTCGAGCGATCAAATTGTTAAATAAATCAATAGATGTCATTGCACACCAACGGTTTTATGCGTCCATAAGGTCCGCGTATCTATTACTTATATAAATCTTTGGTTCTGTAATTAAATTCAAACCAAAGATTCGACAGTTTCTGATTTGATCCATGAAGCCGTCCACATTATTGAAGTCGATCTCTCCTTTGCGATGTCTTGATAATAAATTTAGTAGTAGTACTCTAAGGTAGTCTGTTCTATACACTCCTAGAAAAAAAACGTACTTAGCACTAGCGAGTGTGTTATTTAACATAAAATCTTTAGTAGAAGTAAAACGATGAAAGTAAATTGCATTAAAGAAAACATGACTACATTAGGTACGTGAAAGACTTACCTTAAACCATGGAAACAATGTATCTGTCGTGTGTTTGCTGGGTTACCATGATCTAAATGGAAAGTGAACGGTTTAGTGACTGTAGTGAACGGAATATATAAAAGACATCTGGGCCTCGATTCTTGAGTACAGTAGAATAGAACGTTCCCCGACGATTATTCCCTCGTTTTGTTCTCTCCTCAACCTTACACGCTATTCTGTACTTTTGGGGAGTAGAGCTTTTCGATAGAACGCACAATGCAGCGTTGCCAAGGTTCTCAACCAATCACATGTTGGCATTTACGTAAACAACTACCTAACCTCTATTGTACGTACTTTAATGTGTATTACATTTTTGGTTTTATTTTCTATTCATAACGTTTACGTGTGCTTACAACTATAGACTTTATTATGGATGCAAGTGATACGACTCAAAAAAAATGCGGCAGTATAAATGCTGCTCAAAAGCAGACATTAACAGATTTTGTGTTCGAACACAAGGAAATGTATGTGGGAAAATTTACAGCTACATACACAAAGGCGGTAAGCGAAAAACTATGGCAAGAAGTAACGGTCCTGTTAAACAGTATACCCGGAGGTCCAAGTAAAGATTGGAAACTTTGGCGTAAGGTAAAAACTGTGTTTATAAAATGCTTTATAATTTATGTACGTTACTTTTAGACCTGGATTGATTTAAAAAAAAATACCAAGGCCAAATTGTCTCGGGCCAGGAACTACGCTGCAGGTACAGGGGGTGGTCCGCCCCTACCTGAGATTGATACATCCACTGATTCCAAAATATTGGAAATTTTATCCCCCGTGTGCGTAACTGGTGATAAAGACATCGTGGAATCGCAGGTGATTTTGGATGATGAAATGGTTAGTATAATCATCGTGTTTAAGTGCAATTTTGCATAGTTATATTATTGTAGCACCCTGTGATGGATGTGGATATGGAAAATAAATATATAGAGGTTCCATCAGTCACAATTGATGTTCCATGCGCCTCCACATCAACAGCCAATGATGTACCTACCTGTACACCTGTGCATGAGAGAAATACTCCAAGAATGAAAAAAAGTTCAAAATCGGCAAGACTTCACTCTTCGATTGCAAACCACGATAAATTACTCAAACTAAACCAAGAAAAATTGGCTATGGAAAGCGACTACAAAAAACGGAAGCTGGAAATTTTAGAACAAATGATGAAGGATAAAAGAAGTTACCAAGAAAAAAAAATTGGATATTCTTGAGGTAGCCTCAGACGCAATTATAAAAATTGCAGATAATTTAAGTGCAATGCAGGATTAATGTAATTTTATTGAATATTAGGTTTAACATTTTTGTATTAAAGATGATTTTGTATTATATTTTGCTGTAATCTCCTTACTGCTATAAGATCAGGGTTTATCCCACCGGGTTGACCTCTCACTTCTGCTGCAAAAATCCCGTAATCGGGATGATCTATAAACTGGTCGTAACGGAGCTCCGGGACAGCATATGCAATACACATATTGTGTAACACAACACAAGCATTGACAATACGTGCAGCTACTGTCGGAGTATAATGTAACACTCTGTGCCGTAACAAACATCGGAAACGATTCTTTAACACCCCATTACACCTCTCAATTAAACTGCGAATACTGCATATCCTATCATTGAAACGTTCTTCCCCACCTGCTTGTGGGTTCGGGATAGGTGTCAGCAACCAAGGACGTGTAGGATATCCTATAATGATATTTTTGGAATTTATTATTTACTTTGTACAAAATGTACCTGAATCGCCTAAAAGGTAAAAAACATTACGCGCATCTCGACGGTACATTGCTTCCATGACTTGAGACACTGCGGAATGTCTCCAAATATAAGCATCATGAGTGCTCCCCGGAAACCTAGCATTCACATTCATGATACGTAATGATTCATCACATATCTACAAAACATGTCACATCATTTACATATTCAAGGCCTGGCCTACCTTCTGTCAATGAAAAGGTACTACATGCATTATTAAATCAGCACTACATATTACCAATTGAACATTTAAAGAATGGTAATTTTTCCTATTAATGTAAGCTCTCTCGGGATGTTCTGCATCTTCTACGAAAGGGGCAATTATTGCAATGTGGGTGCAATCGATGCAGCCGATTACACCTGGGAAATGATATTTGTCATAAAACCTAAAATAAATGTACCTATATAGCTCTATCTATAGGTTAAATGCCGTAGACAATCACCTGCGCCTTAAACTTTCAAAGTCTGCCAGATTTCGAGGAAAATGTACCCATGCATTAAATACCTCTGGTGCATTTAGGGCTTCGCAAACTTCAGAAATGCACCTACTCATGCTGGCTTGACTGATACCAACATATTCACTTGACCCTGTTAGTTCCTGATAACTGCCCGTAGCCAGAAATCGTACTGTTGCTAGTACCTTAAAATATGTTAGATATATGAGAAACATGATAGTCGCAATTTCTATTCACCTTTGTTTCTACACTTAAAGCAGACCTACGAGTAGGCTGTTGTAAATGAGGAGTTAATGTCTCTATTACATCTCGCATCAATGGTTTCGTTAACCTGAACAACTTCACAAATTTTTGGTCAGACAGCAAGAATGGATTTTTTCTAATGAAGGTTTCTCTTTCCAATTGTTGTTCTTGTTCGGCATCCTGAATATTATTGATTATCTGATCCCACAAAATTACATCCTCTAACTCCATTACAGCAAACACTATGAAGTTTAGAAACAATCAAATATAGTAAAATCTGAGGGAATCCTTCACTCGACGGTAAAATAGATAGGTTATGCGAGGTTCACTACTAAACTCCCTACAAATTGGTAATAGAACAGTTTTCATCCCCGGGGAAACGCGTGGGAGTAGAAAGAACAGTCAAGAATACAAATTTGCGACAGTGAGAGAACCACGCCCACTTTCTCTCGGTAGTTCTACTCCCCGAAAATCAAGAATCAGGGCCCTGTTATTAATTTTCACATATAAAACTGACATAAGTTCTGAAAATTCTGAAAGTTTTTGACAAGTGTTTGTAACGACGTTGCCATTGCCTCATTACTTTGATTTTCCCGCATTTTTCCACGCTAAAATGGCGGACCTTGCGACATTTATATTAATGGTTAACAACAGAATACCGCCTATGGAGTATGTATAGGAGTATTTACCTCCTCTAATGTCTCTGATATAACCGCAAATAACGGAAGGACAAAAGATGTTTTCAAGTGGGCGGCCGTATTTATGGCGCATACGAGTATTGAGAAGTTCATCTAAGTTTGAAAATTTTTCAAAGTTTCTAGTCAAAAATAGTATAATGTAATTTACAATTTCAGTATTTACGGTGTATACGGCTTCAGTTTACGGCTATAAGAACTTTAATTCTACAAACTTTTTTTGAAGTACACTGTATACATACACACACTTTATACGGACCGTGCACAGTTACCATATCTTTGTTTATGCAGATAGGCATTGAGTATAAACATTTAGTTGTTGCAGGTTAAAAATCTTGCAATAATTATTGTGGTAAGTATGCAAGTATTGATAAAATGAAAACCTAAGATTGCATTTTAAATTAGCCGGGAACGACGCCATTGTTCTTTACCACAGATGACAGATTTCTCTCTATTTTCTTTCTCTCTCACTCTCTCTGAATTACTTCTAAGTAAAAGCATTGTTTAAGTAATCGGTGATCATCGATAGATATGACTACCAGTAAATGTACGTGTTAACCATCGGAATTCATAATTTGTAGTAGGTGTTAAATCTGCGTATATTCTTACAAGGTATAATAGTTTTTATTATAGATTTGATTTCCATAACCCTTACAGCACGTGCAAGAAGTAGTTTCTGCAAGATAAAAATGGAGGTGGCGTGATATGAAATGTAAGTACCTACCTATCAACTTAAATAAAATAACATCAAGTGACATTGATTTCCAAGTGTTGGCAAACTGCTACGCGTGTTTCTCCAAGCAATCTGGTTCCCAACTGAATGCAAGTAAATCCACGGGGTTTTGGACAGGACGGTGGAAAAGTAGGAAAGATCGTCCACTTGGTTACCAATGGAGTACTGAGAGTATTAGAGTCCTTGGGATAAATTTTCACGATGACCAAAAGAAAGACGCTGAGTATGCATTCGCAGATATAAAAACTAGAATTAAATCCTCTTTAGACCTATGGAAACGACGAATGCCATATCTCTCTTTGTTAGGGAAGAAATCTATTGTTAACCAATCAGTTGCGCCTAAAATATGGCACGTTTTACACATAGTGCATTTCAATAAGGCACAAATAGGTGAACTTCAAGCGCTATTTGTTAATTTCATGTGGCGAGGGAAACACTGGTGTAGAGAAATGGACTTATGCTTGCCGGTGAGGTGGGGAGGACTAGGGCTTGTAAATTTGCAATCTAAGTTGATATGTTTTCGGTTAATGACTTTGCAGAAATTGTTTCCGAATGGTGAAGTGCAGAACTGGCAAATGGTTATGAACCACGTCAATGCGATAGGAGATAATTACAAAACGTCATGGCAATGGTTTTTCTTGATGCATCGACCTGTGCAAACTGATCACTCGCCTTTTGCTTTGTCCATTGTGGATGCGGTAAATAAGTTGGATATTGAAGTGAAGGGGTTTCCTCGAGGATTGCGAGACATCAAGAGAATACCAACAACCAGTTCGAAACTCCTGAAGGAAATTAAACCACCATTGTTTATCAATCGCTGGGTTACGGTGGGTTTTAAAACCGTAGAAGACTTCCTAATTGGAACCAGATGGATAACAACGGAGGAGCTACGAGCGAAAATCTATCACGTTTCAGGAAGGGACAGAATAGAATTGGAAAACCACTATTCAAGGATACGGAGCTATTTTCACAATCACTATTACGAGCACATGCAAGACAAGGACGACGAAGAACCTATTCAGCTTATGTTTGAAAATATAGACGGAAGTATGACAAAACTGGACAAGAAAACTCGAAAAGCACTGCAAGAAAAGTTATCTGCAAACTTGTACCGCATTAAGGAGAAACAACTGGGAAAGTGGTTAGACATTGAGGTGAATTGGAATACATTTTTTAATAAAATGACATTGGGTAAGGACGGTGAGATTGCATGGAGATTGGCAAAAGACAGATTGGCGGATGCAGTATTTCTTACAAAAGCAGGTATCAGGGAAAATAGCACTTGCCCGTTTTGTCAAAATCTTGGAAGCAGTTTTCATATCTTTTTCAATTGCTCTCGTACAATACAGCTTTGGATTTATGTAAAAGCGTTAGTGTACAGACTTACTGGTACTCGAATTGGCATACACCAGATATACAGCGGTCTTCCTCAGCGAATGTCCAAGCATCATATTGCGAATTACCTACTAACAATGGCAAAGAGCACAATTTATCTATCTTCAACTGACGCAATGCGAGGAAGAAAGGTGACGGACTATAAAACCGAGTACATCAGCAGAATCAGCTATCGACTGAAAACTGAATATGGTTGGTTTTTGGAAAAAAAGGACGTGAGTGGATTTCAAAGTATGTGGTGTGAAAAAGATGTTCTGTGTAAAATTGACAAAGGCGAACTTAAAATACTGATGTAGTTTGTTTTTTTTGTTATGTATACTGTAATCGGTAATGTGTAGGGAGTATCAAAAATACAGGTAACGAAATTGTAAAAAAATGTACAGTTGTAAATAAATAAATAATAATAATAATAATAATAATAATAATAATAATGAAATAAGTAAGTGTGAAATCGGATCGATTTACACGTTTGTGGCCTTCAGTATTGTGAAATTCCTTCAGTGTGGGTGAAAAATAATATCGTTTTTCTGCATTTGATTTAGCACATTTACACATGTCTAATGGTGGCAACAGACTATGCGTGTATTCGGGATTCGCTCGGTTCGTGGCAGTGTCTAGTTAAATAAATGAAGCCCAGCAGACTATTCATGTATTCTCGATTTAAGCGAATGAATCCATACACACTATGCACAAATTGCTGGCGAATCGCACATTTTGAATTGCGAATACACGCATAGTCTGTAGCCACCTTAATGCCTATTGTATAACACGTCTATTCACTAACTTTCGTTTGTGAACGATTTTGTGGGCTATCAAAAGAGTTTGAACGAAACTGAACAAAGGGCAGAAAAACGTTATTTACTAACTTTTTTGTTTAGATATCAATTTTAAGGTTTATTTGTGAACAAAAATGAAGACAGATTTTGTTCAAAGTTTCATGGCGAATGTTTGTTATAAAATTAGAGGATGTTTGCCATTTGTAAACGAATTCAATAATCCAGATATCACTGATCTTTATTTTATTCTAAGTATGTAATGTGTGAAATAATTTTTTATATCATTATTAGTTTTAGATGGCTACCAGCATTTGTCGTGAAACACAGCACAGAAAGCATTTGTCGTGAAACGCAGCACAGAAAGCATTTGTCGTGGAACGCAGCACAGAAAGCATTTGTCGTGAAACGCAGCACAGAAAGCATTTGTCGTTAAAAGCAGCTGTTGTCGTATGTAAATAGCGTTTGTCATTACAACTAGCGATCATTGTCAGCATTAGTAAAGAGGCACATTAAGGAAGTTACCTATTTGAATCTACTTTTGAAGGAAAAAATGCCAAGAAGTCCACTGAGTATTGATGGTTACCAATATAAGCTGAATAGAGTGTACAACAATTTGAGGTAACCAACTTTATTCATTTTTTACTTTTTTTGTAGTAGAACTTGAGTTCGATTTCATTAGGTAACAGGTTTGGCAGTGGATTTACTTATATTGATTAATATTACAATTTTTTTTGCGAGATTTTTTAAAACATGTTCTGCAATCTTGTTAGACGTTTGTCATTGCTACTCTGTAATACAGGTGAATGCTAATTAAACATATGGTGATGGATAGAAAATGTTTACTGCAACTTCAACTTTTGACTGAAATTGTAGAATTTTTGCAATTAGCAACTGAATTGCAATGAATATTTATAATTACAATTTCACTACGTTTGCAATTGAGTACTTCTTAAATAGTTTTAAGCAATAATTAAATAGATTTTCACTAAAAATCGCTTTATTTGCTGACCGGTTTCAACATTCAAAATGTCATTGTTATTTTTAGTGGAAAACTATCTAATTATTACTTAAAACGGTTACAATGGAATTTCTCAAGGTATCCCTCAAACTTGATTAGTTTTTACAGCACCTAGCCAAAGGTAAAGCGCGTTACTATTACATAAATTGATATTGATAGTCACAATTGCATTCAATTTCACAGCTATCAGAGCACACTGCAAAATAACTTTTCTATGACTAATTTTAGTGTAGAGATTTTTTGTTATACGTGCATCATAATCAGTAATTAAAACATTCATTACCCTGCATAATTAGCATATCGTGAATTTTAGATACAATGGGGTTGTGTCAATTTGAAATGGTTGCTGGACCTTTTCATATAAAAAAAATATTACTAAAACTTTTTGTTAAGAAATTCGACGTCTAATTAAATGAAGTAGCACGGAATATAGTGATGGGAACAGTTCATTGTATATAGGGCCAGTTTTGCAATTGCCAGTTAACGGTAACTGACAGATAACTTCCAAGGAGACAATTGTTTTATGTCTATGACAGTTATCTGTCCGATAAGGTTAACTGGCGATTGTAAAACTGGCCCTTAATGTATCAGATATTTACAAATTTTGGTGTGTCAAGAGATTGAAATATTTCTTAAACAGAGTAGTAACGGTAGTTTTCTATATTATTATTCCTAAAAATATTTTTATTACAGGTTTGGTTTAATTGGGATTCCACTGTAATTGTTTAATACTTGCGTATCATAATTGTCAAAAGTACTTATTATATTATATTATATTGAATAATTATATTTCATGAAAACGAATTAAGAAAATGACATCAAATTGTATCTAAAAACAAGTAAAGTACTTGTAATATGTTATCAATTTCTTTTTTTGGTAATATTAATCAAAATGTTTTCTATAGGTATTACATGTGTACAAAGTGTGCTCTTCCTTGCTTTGCAAGGGGTGTTTTGAAGCCTGATGGGAATTTTTCGCTTTCTGTTTCTCATAATCATCCTCAGGATTTTGCTGAAAATCAATTATTTTACTTCCGGCGAGAGTTAAGACAGTCTGTGGGTAGGAGTACTAGCTCTTGTAAAGATATTTACGAAAGTATTCTTTTATTGTAAGTTAATATTCTGCAGTTAAGAATCTAAATAACAATATATGAATTTTTTTAGATATCCTGAAGCGGCTAATTTACTGCCATTTACTGCTGTTGAATCAGCTATGTTTAAGTGGAGAAGAACTTGTAGACCCCCATATCCTAACACTTTGCAAGAATATTATGACTTGCTAATATCAGAAAAGTGGTGTAATCGATTGACATACGATCGTGGCGCTCTTCAATGCTACTTCTTAAAGCCTTCAGAAAATGTTGAAATATTGTTGTTTTACAATCCCACTTATGTTGAGCCTTTATTATCAAATTGTGAAATGAACGTTGATGCAACATTCAAATGTGTGCCATGCAATGTTGGACTTTCAACGCGCAGTGCGCAGTGTTTTACCATAATGGTGACAATACATAATCATGTGAGTCGAATCCAAAATTTAATTGTAGTGACCACTTTTTTATAGTCGATACCATGTATCTGGGCACTCATGAGCAAACGTACTGCTGAAGCGTATGTAACACTGTTTCAACATTTAAAAAGTAATTTCCCCAGCATGACCGCTACACAAATAATGTGTGACTATGAAAGAGCATTATATCAATCGTTGATGGAGATTTTTCCTGAGTCTGAAATTCATGGATGCTTTTTTCATTTTTGCAAGGTAAACAGATAGTCAGTTGAATTGTATTGTTAACCAGAATATACTTTACAGGCAATTTATCGTCAATCAAAAAAGTTAGGATTGGGATCGCTAGTGACTCAAAATGAACATGCTCAATTTGTATTAAGGAAAATAATGGCATTAGCGTTATTACCATGTGATATGGCCGTAGAAGGATTTAATTTAATTAAATCTGAAGCCCCTGACGATATTCGTAATGCATTTAGTAATTTTTTTACTTATGTGGAATCCACTTGGTTGGAAGGGGTTACACCACAACTTTTTAGTGTGTTCAATTTAGTTAGACGGACTAATAATGCAGTTGAAGCATATCATCGAGTTCTAAATCAGAAGTTTGGTGTTCATCCAAATGTGTGGGCTTTTACAGGTTTGTTTTGTACAGTAGGTTTTAGAAGGAATTGCGATCAGTGAATTACCTAAATCAAAACTTTGAGTAATGAAATATAGCCAGATCTTTTCAACAGAATCCAATTAGTATAACAATTCACAAATCTTATTTAAAAATTAATTTGAATAGTTTTTGAATGTTACTAATCGCAGATCTAGATCTTTATTATAACTTTTTCAAGGACCAGGGCGTAATCAGTCTCACAAATGACTTCACTTCTATGCATTGAAGTTCTGCTTTTGCGTTGTTCATCGCGTTAATGGTTTTGCGTGATCCTTTGCTGAATTCATATTGAAAACACGAAAAGAATGGCATATACATGCAAACCTATCATCAAAATAAAATTGACAATCACAATGCAGCTAACAGGTAGAAAAGAGTATACTGACAGGAGAAAATAGAAAGGAAGGTAAAGGAAAAGTGAACCAGAAGGTTCATTCAGTGATGACTATCAACACGAGGAGAAGCAGAACTTCACATCATGCTTTTAGAAATAGTTATTTTTTTATCAGTATTATACAGGGTGCAACATAAATGGAGAGATAGAGGGAATTGAGTCAAATGTGTTTCTTTTGGGAACTACCTTAAAAAAAGTGGTGAAATTTGCATTTCTTATATTTTTCTCCAGCTCATAAGAGCTACAAAGACATGTGGCACGTCTTTGAATAGTTCTTTAGGTATACTTTTTCCGATTCTGCAAAAAATTTGTCATAAATAGGTACATTAAATTCATATTGAATCTGAGATGTATTACGTCCTTGGTCCCATGTTACTAAAGTTGTAACATTTGTCAAAATGTTTAAATTGCGTTCTGTACAAATTAAAGTTATATTTATGATTGGAAATTTTTTGTTTTTTTACAGAGCACCTGGTACAACTTCAATCAAAATCACACAATGATGTAATAATTCTTCACTCTGGTCAAAGGGTAACTAGACTGCCTAAAGTTAGATACCTACTAAATGCTGCCAATATTTCACGAGCGTGGCGTGAACTGCAAAATCAACAAATATCATTGTCTGAATTCTTAGAAAACGCTAAGTACTTTGTCAGTTCACTAGTTCGAACATTGTTAAGTAATGATAATAGCAGACATAATGATGATTTAAATGATGTACTTCTCATTGACGGTGCACGCATAGTCGAAACAAGAATAGAGAACGCTATTGTGGATACAATGAGAACTGCAAATGTTAACAATGCATCGGAAAGTAACTCAAGAGATGACAATTTACATACAAATCGACCTACAACACGATTAAGAACAGCTACAATTGCAAATAATGAATCTGAAACTATTAGTTTAAGTAATACCAATCGTTCTAGGCGAACACGTCCTAGTAGACCTCTCACACGCAGGGTTAGTCAACGTAGAACGCGACGCAGGACTAGTGTTTCAACTTTAGTCAGCAATAATGGCAATGCTGATACCTCAACTTTTGCACAAACAACAGTTCAGGCCAGTGTCACAAGAGGTATAGTCTTTAGTTATTATTTGCAGTTTTATGCAGTGAGCGATGGCGTTCTCAAGTTTGCAAAGAAGTATGGCATCAATGTTATGCATTCACCCTGTACAGACTAGTCACTGTGAGACAATCTATAGGCTCTTTGCAAACGGTTTTAAAATTTAAACAGTTCTATTATTTCAGAAATACAAACATGTCAGACGTGTCAAAACCGCTTTAGGTATGACAAATAAAGATTGATTGATTGAATGATTGATTGAACATTTTCTGAAGTGAATTTCTGCTTTACTTCTTCAAATGGTTGCAGTAAATTTAAAAGATTTTTCACTACATCCTGTTTTGTTGGGATTTAGCACTATAAATCCTTGCACATCATGCAACCTATTTAACCTTAGAAGAAGCGCGCCAAAATTTGTTACACATAAAATAAATTGAAAATTGATATAAATTATAAAACAATATTACCCATATGCACATAAACCATAAGAAAGCGTAGCTATTTAGCACGGTTTTTTATAAACTCTCAAATTAATTTTGCGTCTATCACTGTAATTTTTTTAAATAGTCTTCTCCATGCTCTGACTTATATTATCATTCGTTAGAACCTTTAGAATTATTGGTCATGTATGTATAAAGCATGGAATATGGAGTATTTTTTCAAAAATGTTAAATTTGTGGTCTGTAACAGTGAAGTAACACACATAAATGTGATTTGTTTCAGTATTTTATGCTGTTTAGTGTGTTTTTAATATTTTTTTCTGGATGAATGATAAAGCAATATTGTATGTTAAAAAGAGCATTTTGTAAGTTAAAGTAAAACTTTTCGTAGTATGTTTATTTAGATAGTAGCACCTTAAGTTAATTTTTAATTAATGCTTTGGCTTTGCACTTTTCATAAATATTGGGGATGATGACACCAATAAAGTATTTGATAGTTTGACTGAAGCTTTTAAACCTATATTATTTACAAGAGAATAGAGCTGATTACCTAAGGCTATCATATGTGGGGTGTTGTATAATTTACTGTATTTTTTTATTTAAACTCGTTAGTTATTCTATGTTATAAAATATTTTTACTTTCATTAAATGTACTTTTTACAGTTACACCAGAGGAAGATGCGGAAATTATGGAGTTTGTCGATCGAGTTTTACGTGAAAATTCTGTTCAGGTTACAGGTGAGAATAAATAGTTTAGATTACCTTGCTAATTTCCTGTTTATTAGAATTACATACTGAGAATACAGAGTTATTGGACAACTTCATTGCTGATTTACCACAAGGTAACTTTATCAATGCATTTCTTTTAGCTTATTTATCTTTGTTGACAGGTTCGGCACTTACCTTAGAGTTAGACAGATCCAGTGTTGTAAAAGATATGTTTTCATTCTACTCAGACCCTATGGTTACATTAAAAAGTTTAAACATTGTGTTCAAAGGAAAGTTGGGGTCAGATTTTGGTGGATTAACTAAAGAAGCATTCACCATTTTTTGGAATGAAGTAGTAATCGACTACTTTCGAGGTGAAGATGTAATTATTCCGTTCCTTCCCTTGCATCGCATTCGAAGAGATAAAATGAACTTTAAATTGATAGGTCGTATTCTAACTCACATGTTTATACTTACCAAAAGCTTACCTACAAAATTGCCTTTATGTGTCTATTTACTATTGCTGAACAATGAAGAAATTTCAGATGAAATTATCATGAACGATTTTAAGCTATTTGTAACTAAGGCTGAATCAACTCTTATTTCGAAAGCAATTTCATCATTTTCTCAGTTATCAACAGTTGAGTTGTACCGCTTGCAAGAATTTTATTCATCCTATGGGATGTACGATATACCCCGTGAAGACCAAATACAAGAGCAAATCTTAACACTTGCAACTGATATTTTAATTAGCAAACCTAAAGACTTTATTACCATAATGCGCAGTGGAATTCTAGATACTCATTTAACTACAGTATGGAATGTAATGACTGTTGACGAGTTGTCTACTATATTAAATCAGTTGAAACCGTCTCCTCAAAAAGTTGTTGATTGCATTGTTCAAAGGGAGCAGGAATTAACAAATGACCAATCACGAGTGTTCTATTACTTACAACAGTTTGTTTTATCATTGAGCGACTCTGATTTGCAAAAATTTTTGTTATTTGTGACTGGTTCTATTCACCTTCCATCTTCAATTTTAGTAACTTTTAATAATTTAAATGGTTTAAATCGTAGACCTATTGCACATACGTGCAGCAATTTAATAGAAATTTCATCTTCATACTCGTATTATCAAGAATTCACTCGCGAAATGAAGCAATACTTGGCTCACGATTTTTCATATGAATACTCTCAAATTTAATCTTTCAATTTATTGTTACATATTTCACATTTGTTTAGGGTTCTACTAGATGCTTTTATTATCAATCTGTGCTTTACAATTGTTTGTATGATTGTTTTGCTTATGTATATTAAAATAAATATATTAAGTTCTATTCAATGTATTTTATTTTTTCTCTTAAGGTGATATCAGACGATTCACTTCTTATTCATTTCTGTCTTTCATGATGTTGCTTTCGGCATTCGGCATCAATCGCTTGTACTTCATTTAAGTGAACTGTTTGATATTGCCTTTAGACCAAATTGCACCATAACAATTAAGGAATACTTAAATGTAAGTATGGCTTGAATACCTTGGTAACGATTGTTGAGACAATGGTTGCTATAGAGATTAAGCTCTACTTATAAGCAGAATTTAATTTGTACGGTGCAAATGAGCATTAAACGCCTAAGTTCAACCTCCGGGGTTGCAACAGAAAATTGCTATAGAAGTACGTCGGGCCACAAAAAAGTTTCTGCCTGGAGAATGTAGGAGGCGAGGGCTGCCTTAACATATAATTTTTCTCGACTTTCAAACCTTTAGCATCATTTAATTTGAATTGAGAATCTAAATATACATATGAAACGAAACTTTTTACCTATAAGCTAGTAACACGCCGACAAATAAAAATACGCGTTTCTTTTATAATATAAACTCGGCAATTAGTATGGTTAATTAGTAAAGTATGGTTAATACCTTAGTTAATACCTATCGATTGCTTTGTCGAGTCGTCGAAATTTTAGGATTTTGTTCGTACAGAATGACCTATCTTCTTCAGTAGTAACACTATGGTTTACACTAGTTTACGCTACGGATCGCCATCTTACAGAAAATTTAGACGTTAAGTAGGAATACAGGTTTCGTATTATAGGCTTTTAATTTATACGATTTGTCAGTTCGACAAAATGAAAGTTATACGCTTTTTTTTATACGAATTTTATTTATATGTTTTACAAGTTCGACAAAATGAAAGTTATACGTAATTTTATTATACGTTTTTATTTTATACGAAATACCGGTTATACGTTTTGAAATTTATACGGAATGATAGCTACCCTTTTAACCTATAGACTAAACCAGGACGTTTTGGGACTATGAGGGCTAAAGGTGGACTGTACGATAATCCAGATCCTATGGGAGTTCAAATACCGGCTACGTGGCTACATCCTGGGTCGAAACGAGAAATGTTTATCTAATGTTGGGAATGTGGAAAAGGACTCTTATACTCCTAGCTTACTTTCCCAAGTTGACGAAATCAATCTGATTGGGCAGTATATCTCAAAAGAAAATTTAGAAAAATCGTAACTTAGTTTCTGTACGCAGGTGCGTATATTGTGATATTTACCTTCAATAAACACAACAACACAAATAACTACTATTTTACCGTTTATATTTGAATGTTATAGGTCTCCCTGATTAAAATTAACACCCGTAATGTAATTATCATAGTGTGAAAATTTACATCTGAATCCTTGTTGCTTTATGAAGCGCGCGACACATATTTAACTGTTTTAATTAATGCACGGCTTAGCGCATTAAGTCAATCGACTGTCGTTTCGTTGATTGCCTTTTAACTATCGAATTCTTTATATTAGATAGTGATATGGTCATAATTTTGGGAATAAATGGAATTTTGCAGTGCGTCCTGACGTAAGACTGAGATAGACCGATACGGCAAGACATGATACATAAGGCTGGTTTACATTAAGCCTCAGTTACACGAGAATAGTAACTCGTGCGAGCCACTAAAACCGAGTGCTGTAAGTATCGTGTAAACAACCATTCCATTACTGGTTTCTAGTACTCGTTCCAGCAAGTGTTCCAGTCGAGTAATAGAAACAGTTTCTATTTAGTAGAACGAGTTGCCCCCTCTACTTTACTATCTTGCATTACTTCCCTCGTGTAACATAGTGTTTCTAGTGAAAAAGACGGACAGTCGAGTGCAGAATAATTATTGACTGCACCGAAGTGTACTCAGTAGTTCCCAAGAACATGGAGAAGCAGAGATTGACATACAGTTCTTATAAACACCGCAATACTTGGAAGGTGCTCGTTGGTGTAGCGCCTAATGGTGTCGTAACATATGTGAGTGATGCATACCCGGGATCTGTTTCAGACAAAAAAATTGTTCAACATTGTGGCTTATTGGATCATATGTGTCCTGGTGACCTTATTATAGCAGATAAGGGTTTTTTAATACAAGATCTGTTACCAAAAGGTATCAGCTTGAACATTCCCCCATTTTTGACAACGCCTCAATTTACAGAGAGTCAAGTTATAGAAAATAAAAGGATTGCCAGGGCTCGAATACATGTTGAAAGGTCTATATACAGAATCAAAGGGTTTAGAATTTTAACTTGTATACCCCAATATTACACTTCTGAAATATCAATAATATTTCAAGTATGTGCTGCATTAACAAATTTTCAACATCCCCTTATTAAAGAAGTGGAAGAATATTTTGTTTAAACAATTTTTAAATTTTATTGCATAGCACAATGTACTTGTTAATAGGTTTGTTCCAACTTGTGAAGAAATCGGTCAAAAATTGTCGATTCTTGCAGAATACACGGAAATAGCATTTTTCTTTTAGACAAGCTTTTATGATTTTTTTGCAGATTGGAAAAGACCTTATAGCAAGATTAGATTACATTTATATGATAATTATAACTTATTGTATTACGGACAGATGAACGAGTGTAAATGTATAGCCTAATGTTCACACAATAACTGATCTACCCATATGTACATTATTCATTATACAAATTCTTACAATATTTTTGCAAATTACTACAAAATTAATGTATTACGCATTCCAAACTTGTTAATGAACACTTTGCAAAAGTTTTGGTATATATTGGTAAAAATAAAAATGTTCTAAAATATTTAAATTATTTTCCCACTCAAGATCAATGTCTATATTTACAATGAGCAACTCTTTGGTGGTCCAGATACACAAATAACACTTTTTTCGCTGCATTATGTGAAGCAACCCCTGAATTTGATCAAAATATTTGTGCTCCCGATTCACAACAATAGTTCCCTTCTCAAAGTATATAATATAACCCTTGCCATTACGTAAAACTGAAGAAAGTTTATCATTTCGGTAAGTGTAGGGACACTTTACTTCGACAATTGCGTCATCTCCATCTGGGCTAGCTCCTAAAATTCCGGATGTAGATAGCCATATTCCTGAAGATAAGACTGTTAAGTCGGTAGCTTTTTCAAATTGTTGTATAGCAATTTTCTCGTGCTGTTTACCCCATTGAATGGCTTTGACTCCGTCCAAATTATAATCACCTGCAATTGTTAAATTATACATACACTTACGTAATACACACACCAATCTCATTACCTGATAAGCTTTTAAACAAACTCGGAGGAAATCTATTTCTCTTGCAGGCTGCTAAGACTAATCCAAAGTTGCTTGCGGTTAAGCGATACTTTCGAACTAAGTACCACTTTTCATTTTCAGCTTGACCTACAGTTAAGTTAGCAACTGACAGTACAACCGATTTAGCCAACATAGATTTCTGCTTTAAGTATGAGACTTTATCTGACATAGCATGATATTCTTCACAAAATATAACTTCTTCGAGTAGAGGTAACGATTCCGTAATACTTTCAGCAGTGGTAGGTTCGTCCTTTAAAAGCCAAGTAAAACCAACTGTATCGCCTAAATTATTTAGCCGTTTTTGCAACTCCTGCAATTCAGTTTCGGTCATGTCCCGATCTATTGCAGAATATTTTTTGCTAGGGTATAGCTCAGATGCAGTTCGGACTACGTCTTTTGTTTTTACAGCATTCTGTCAGTCACTGAGATGTTGTAATGCCCAAAAATAGCAAGTGCTGCAATGTGATGGCATTTGATGCCTTTTGGACAGGAACAACTTGCCTTAATAATATCGGCAGATTTATTGATAGAAATCTGTACAAACGGGAACATTAGCATGATGTTAATTACGTATTAAGTATTTACCTCAACTTTATAAAATTTGTCCTTCATGCTAGCATGAACATTTCCTTGAATTAAGCCTAATCCAAAATCCACTTGCATACATTGGACATGACCAGATTCAACCGCATTTTCACCCCTTCTAATTACTTTGTTATCGTTTTCAAAAAATTCTAGTATAGATGAAAACTTTAATACATGTTTCGCCATTATTACGTACAAAGCTTTTAAATAAGTTCATCGGAGCCCGCTCCACTCTTCTGTGATGCAACAACTTTTCGGTGTTAACAATAAAAGTTGCTTTGTAAGCCGTTGAATTTAGATTTTAAGTCACTTCCCGTAACTTCGGGCCGTAATGGGGTCAACGCTTTTACAATTGTTTCCAAGGCTTCTTTTCGGCTATGCTTATTTTTGTAATTAGCTGATTTTACAACGTAAAGGCATTGGTATTTCTGCACCTCCTCAATTAAAGCTCACTTCTCTGTTAGACCACGACATACTTTTCGAAAAAATATAAACATTCACATGCAAATGTTGTTAAAAATTATTTATTTATTTATTTATTTGTTTAGCCAGATACCATACAGAATACAATTATTCCAATTACATGGCACTGGGGTGCTGTACTTAAAACTAAAACTACACAGTAATTACGATCTTATATGACTAATTAATTCATTCAAAGAGCCGTGAAATACATCGATGTCTCTCTCACGGCACTTCTTATTTAAAGCCAACAGGCTCCTCGATAGTGGCGATGACGGAGTGGTCACTAAAAAGATGATATCGTTTTTCCTTAATTTAACATGTGGCACTTTGAGTTTAATTTCCTGAAGCAATTCTGGGGCATTTAGGTGATTATTCAGTATCTTGTACACAAAGGTAGCACAGATCACTTCGCGTCGGATTTGTAAACTTGAGATTTTAATACCGTGCACACTATTTAAAAATTTTAGTTGGTTGGAGTAAGAGATTAAATGTGGAAAATTTTGAGTCGACCTAAAATACACTATTCGCACTAATTTTTTTTGAACTTTCTCTATCATGTCTGCGTGCTTATAAGTTTGGGGTGTCCAAATACATGCCGCATAATCGAGTTTGGATCTGATGAACGCATTGTATAAGGTAATAATTGAGGAAATGCTTGTAAAATTGTAGGTATTCCTAATTACAAAGCCTAGTACTTTGTAGCACGCATTTATAAGGGATTCAATGTGCCGATGAAAATTTAAGTTGCTATTGAATAAAACGCCCAAATCTCTAACCGAGGTGACTCTTTGGATATCCTGCCCATTTATTTCGTATTTAAAAATCGTGGAATTGTTGGATCTTGTGTACGATACAACTTTGCACTTTTCTATGTTTAGCTTCAGTTTGTTTTTATTGCACCAATTTATCACTGCATTTATGTCTGCTTGAATATTTAAACAATCGTTTGAAGATTTCACTTTATTAAAAAGTTTCAGGTCGTCTGCAAATAGAAGTGCTTTGGAGTTTTGAATCACCCGCGGTAGGTCATTAATAAATAGTAGGAAAAGGAAAGGGCCAAGTAGTGTTCCCTGAGGTACCCCTGAAGAGGGGTAAAATTCGGTTGAGTTCACCCCATTGTATTTCACTCGCGTTTTACGCGATGTTAAATATGATTTAAGAAATTTAGCCGTTGGGCTACTGACACAATTAAAATGAAGTTTCTGAAGCAGGACCTGATGGGAGACCTTATCAAAAGCTTTCGCAAAATCGGTGTATACACAGTCCACCTGAGCCCTTTTACACAAGTGTAAAACGGCCTTTAGTAGTAAGTTTAAATATAAGTTGCTAAACTCGATGTAGAAGTAAATTATGTAAATAACGTGGTGATTTCTGGTTACTTTTTTTACTTCAGGTTGGCGACTTGTCATAAACCACCCCTGGCAATGCTGGTCTTCAGTTCTCAGCTTCTCTTCACTTTAGAAAATAAATGTAGCTAAATTGGCGTCTTGATTTGTCTGGCTTCTTTCTATCGCACATTCTTTGTGTTGTTTTTAGCGTAACAAGCATATTTACGTAAACTTTCCTCTCGCCATGAGTTAATTTCCAGAAATTGTTAAATATCTGTTTTCTGTCTTCCTCTGAAATCTCATTACATTTTAATGAATTGTCTTTGCTAATTTTCTGCGACATCGTGCAGCTACATCGTCCTTTCATTTGCCTTTTTGGTTTAGGTACTGCATAGTTCCATTTTCCATTAATCTTCTTCCTGCCTTCGTACTCCTCTCCTTTCTCTCGTTTCAATTGATTGCTGTTTTTACTCCAAGTTCCTGGATTCACTTGGTGTCGTTTTCTTCTTTTCCTTTTAGAACTGCTTGTAATTGAATGACTCGATGAATTATTCGATTCGTGTACTAAGCGATCTTCACTGTCGAGAGAAGTGGAAACATAATTTGTATTTTCGCTACTATTTGTCGCAGCACCGTGTGTTTCTATAAATTTATGTTGATTTGCACTGAGTAACACATTATCTTCATTTATTTCGTCAGTGTAAGACACATTTTTTGCATTATTTGCAGTAATTTTAAAAGTAATTAATTGTTCTCCTTCCTTAACATTATCTATAACCTCTCCAAAAATAGTAGTATAACTAGAAGCATCAGTCTCGGATGTAGCTGTCTCAGGCATACAAGAACTTACTGTTTGCATATTTTCTAGGTTAATATAATGTTCATTTAATGCTAAAGACTGAGAGCTATCGTTTACGGCTTCTATATTCTTAGCACAAGTAGAGGTAGGAATCTCAAATAGAACGTCATGTTCTAAGGCCATCTGTAATATTCGACTTGCCCTAGACATCTGAAAGGTAAAAGAAAAAAATGTGACAAAAACTATCATCATCGTAAAATGCAAATGTATCATCATTACAGTTTTAAACAGTGACGGTTTTAACGGTGAAATCTGTTCAACAATTTCCGTATGAATCGTACCTGCTTCTAAATTTTACCATTTTGTAACGATAGATACGCCGCTGGAATTGAGGTTACAAAAACGTAAGAACTCATTTATGATTTTCATATAAAAATTGGTTCTTACATAGGTTTTTACATAGGTATTTTAACATTAAATTAAATACTCACCTTAATTTCACCACTACACTTTTTATTAAGAGCGAAACAGAGGATAGAGTAAAAAATTTAACGGTCAAAACTGCACACGAATTTAAAAACAAACGTTGGAGTTACGCGATCTTCTGCACATTCAACGTCGCAATAGGAGTTACGAGATTTTCTTGATCGGAGTTACGAGGTTTTCTTTACACCCAATACCTCATTGGAGTTACGAGATATTTTATATGCTGTATAATACAATTTCGAACTATCGTGGAGTTGAGATTTTCGGATTAAATGCATTCCATATTTTACTAAAAGATGGCGTTAAAACCTTATTTTTGAATAATTTGGAGTTACGAGGTTTACGAATTAGGGTAACGATATGCGGTCACTAGCTCCAACAAATAAGTTACCGTATCTATATTCCATTTGACTCGAGTTAGTTCCGCCAACACTAGGTTCATCACGTAATTCACGCAGTAATCTAGTATGGGAAAACTGCTGCCTTTTTAGAAGCCATTTCCGCGACCACTTTGAACGCCGGATATTTCTGAGACGTTCCAATCTTTTATTTTTCTTAACAAGACAGCATGCAAATATTGACCAGAGTAGTACTTCCTCCATGATGATGCCAAAAACTGTGCGAAATATACATATTACAGGTTATTGAGTTGGTTAATAGAAAAGTCAGGATTTGGAAAATATGCACTTTGGGTGCTCTTATAAAGAGAGCAAATAAAAAGTAAGTGGAACAAGGTTTCATTTTCGTGTAAGTTTTTTTGTTTTATTTTTACACCGTTGCTTTGATTTTAATAAGGCCATCTGCTTAATATAATCACCACTAAAGTTTCCACTTTTTGCACCTTACAGTATGTTATTAATTTTTTTTGGGTGTAATTAATTAATGAAATAAAAATGGACTGTGTACGTTATTATCATATTCTTTAAATTATGATCAACGCACAAAGGTATCTCGTCGCCTATTAAAATTGTTAAGACGCTAACAATATGATATTTAATATTTTTATGATTAATTAAATTTGGCACCAACTGCTTGCAATAGTAATATATTTTTTGGAATATTATCGCAAATCGAGAGTCAGGAGTGCAAAGCAATTTAGGGCTATATGGTCTATTCCTTATCAAATTATTTCTTGCTCCTTGATCTGTTGGGGAAATCAAAAGTGTTTTACAAATTTTGCAACACAGAGCTTTTTATGAATAGCTCTCGTTGCCGAGCCAGCAACGTACTGAGTAACATTTAATTTTATAAAATCATTTGTAGGGACAAAAGGTTGTAACTTTGCAATATTATTACTTCGTAATCTAAAATTGGAATTGAATTATCACAAATACTATTATTTTGTGATAAAAACAATTTCAAATTACTTAGTGCACCCTCTGAGTCATCGTCTTCACAATTTTCTCTTGGTGATTTGGGACTTATTATTGACAACTAAAGTTAAAAATGAATTAATAAAATGATGTGGAGTAGGATTTATATATCTATATCCCAAACTTCTAATCATTTCAAAAAAATTTTCAAGGGCGCCTTGGTTGAAATTTCTCAAATTTAAATATTTATATCTACACTTTAAAATATTCCAAATTGCAGTGAGTCCATGAGTGGTGCGTACCCAGTTTTTGACAGTGGGAGGCACACTAGTTTTATTATTACTATCAACATAAAGTATTACATTATTATCTATTAAGAAATATTAAGGAAATAAGGGTGAGTTTAGTCTTTACCTGACTCTCCCTACACGGGTCTCTGACCCGCCCCTTCGGTCGAGTGTTGCGTCTGAGACATATGTGAAGTTAAGTTGAGTAGAAGTTTAAGGGTCGATATGTAAACGTCGTGAGACGCACTCCATCGGGTGTAAATAAATATCTTTTAATCCGATTATTTATATAGTCCTACGCGACGAAACATTGGTCCTTCGAGCCGGATTAATAAATTAGGTAATTAACGCGAAGGTGTGAGTGATTAGAAGGTGAACCTTAGCCAACTAATAACGTCCGAAAAGCAACGTCTGATCCTTCAACCATTAAGGAGGAATCATCCTGGGACGCCTATAAAGTCTCTGGTAAGTCTGTGGTTCTATATTCTCCGATCTACTCCATTTTATTTAGTTATCCTATATTACTGCATAATTAATACATGTTAGTAACTGAAATCATGGCTGAAGCTAAAGCCTTAAAAATAAACGACGGTCTGTCAAAGGGCAGGTCACTCGTATTAGAAATTTCATTGAAGCTTTTCAATCCGATCCGATCCGATCTTGGGAGAAAATCCCGAAAAGGGTAAACGAGTTAGTTTTTCGGTGCACGAAGAACTAGCGTCTCGTTGGCGTCACTTCTTAGTAGAAGGCCTACCCAAAGGGGACGTATCGACTCTTCTAAACAAGTACGACTTTCCTGATAATCTTCGGAACTTAGAACCGCCGAAGCTTAATCCGGAGATGGCCACAATTCTAGACAAGCACAATTTGACAAGGGATAACTCCTACGTGGAGTTACAAAACCACCTAACTAAAGGTCTATGCGCCCTCGGGCACGCATTGAATTCAATAAATATGTCGTCGGCTCTGAGGACCGAGGTCTTCGCTCCCTTGTGTACTTGTGGAAAACTTAGTACCAACCTTTTTAGCCGTATTTCCACTATTCGGCGTAACTTACTAACGTCGCTCCTTAACAAAAATATAAAAAGTGAGATAGAGAGATCAATGCAAGGACGGCAAGAAGGCTGTGTCAGCCCGGATCCTTCGCCTGCTCGATCGGTCTAAAAGACGCTTATTTCTCACTTCCAGTAAGCAAAGTGCATAGACGTTTTTTAAGATTTACGTACGACAGTAAGTTGTACGAGTTCACTTGCTTACCATTCGGTCTCGCTTCAGCCCCATATGCTTTTACCAAGCTTATAAAACCTGTGATTCAGTTTTTGCGATCCAGGGGGGTTACTCTCGTCAATTACCTAGATGATTTTTTTGTTGTGGGTACCTCAAAGGAGGAGTGTCAGGAAAACACGTTGTTAACTTGAATGAATTTGTTGACTTCGTTAGGGTTCTTAATTAACGCAGAGAAAAGTGTGTGGGTCCCAGACACAAGGTGTAAATTTTTGGGATTCCTTTTGGACTCCGTAAAAATGACACTAGAGTTACCGTGCGATAAACGTGACAAAATTTTACGCAAAGTAAAGTTTTTTTCTTAATTGCCGTACACGCACATGCAAGATCCGTAGATTTGCACATTTCGTAGGACTTCTTACGTCGGCGTGTCCCGCAGTGAAATATGGGTGGCTTTACACCAAACTTTTCGAGCGAGAAAAGTACCTGGCTCTGCGACAAAACCATACGCATTCTCGAGTCTTTGACCCCAGACTTACTTTGGTGGCGCAATGGCATTCAGTTAGCCTACAACGACTTAACATCAGACCAATTCAGCCACGAAATTTATTCTGATGCTAGTCTCACGGGCTGGGGAGCAGTGTGCGGCGTCAGCAGCGCTCACGGTTGGTGGACCGGTCGCGACAAACAAGATCATATAAACGTTTTGGAGTTAAGGGCAATCTTTTATTTATTTAGTATCCCTCTCTTGTTCTGTGCCCTCAACAGGCTTGCGTCCAATTACAGAGTGACCCGCATAATGCATTTTAGAGGTGCCTCTGCAGAAGGTCTTAAGTTGTATTACATAAAGATGTAAGCAGTAGATGGATTACGTACCTTAATTTATGAGGGGTTGGTAAAAGAGGGAAAGCTCTCGATCTTGTGCGATTACCCATCCGAGGATAACTACACATAGTTAAACAGCCCCAAGCTGAATCCCGAAATTGCAAAGGCATTGAACATACAAATTGTAAAAAGTGACGAAAATGAGCGGAGTTGCAAACACAAATTGGCGAGGCGATTTGTCAGCTCTATGGAAACTGTTCACCTAGCTTTTGTCCAATGAAGGGGGAGAAAATTCAGAGCATATTAAGTTAGCAAGCTATGCGAATAAATTAAATTGTTACTTGATTTTCACCACAAGCAAGCTATAACGTAATTTAATCGCAACCTTAGGACAGTACTCAAAGACACCCTAACATCTGGCGCTTCAGATGGTTGGCTGTTTGGAGAAAAACTATCTGAACGTGTCAAAGCTGCACGAGAACTAAACAGATCAAGCTGGGAACTCAAATAGAAAGAATATGAGGATATATATACGTGTATTGTGGTATTGTGTATATACACACACACACACAACATTCCTCCCTCTTTACAAAATGAAATCTAATTAAACAAATTGTGAACTGGTGTAAATCGGAGAGGAGCGCGTCGTGTCCGTTCCTGATCTAATCGGCTTTATAAATCTAAGAAACTTTAACTAAATATACGACGATGGACACAACAAGTAACTTAACCCTCATTTCTAAAAATGAAGAACTAGCTTACACCATTCACCCCACTTATCTAACCTACAGACACGTTAACCCTGTTATCTTTGCTCTAAATAAAGAACTAGGATATACAGCAACCAACGAGATTATTACTGGTTACAGACGATCAGTCTTTACTAAGGACGCACTCATTGCGGATTATCATAGAGGAGATGTTCCTAAACACCCCATAATTAAGGACGAACATTACCAACTAGCCTTGAACAGAGTCAAAGAACTTTTCGCTCCCCCAACACCCTACAGACCAGTAGCTTTTCCAGATCTACGTTATTACCCATGGACGTTACCAACCTCAGCTGAAGCTCCCTACACCTACAGCGATTACTGGAAGGAATACATCCACATTAAGTACGAAAAAGGTTTAATCCCTGACTCAAGAGTCACATTTCACAACCTGTACAATGAGATTTTCACTCACAACAGAGAGAAAGTTCATAGAATTAAAGATGGTATTTACAAAGACAGAGAGAACAACGATCTCAAATATTACAATCAGGCTCATGCCCGATCCCACTTAGTACGTGCTAACGAAGAGGATAAAATACGAATGGTATTTGGAGTCCCAAAACTGATGATACAAGTAGAAGCCATGTTTTTATGGCCACTTGTAAATGATTTAGTAAATCGAGATGGCCCAATGCTTTGGGGCTACGAAACCCTCAAAGGCGGATGGTACAAGATATATAATTATATGTCAGCACCACCTACCCCTTCGACATACCTAGCTTTCGACTGGAAACAGTTTGATAAAAGAGCTCAGTACGAAGTAATTGACGACCTTCTTGGAGCTACCGGTGTCACCTGGTCTCTTTCAGTCGCGTCGGCTCTGGCAGTTTCCTGCGTTGGTGATAGAACTGGGGTAGCTGTTGCCAGAGTGGGCTCCGCGGCCACTGGTGAGTCCCCTTGTTGGCCATGAAAACGAATACGTCGCAATATGGGCTCTTCAGGCGTTGTTTTTCGTTGTTGGTCGACACCTGTTTCTTTGATATTTTCTGCGAACATTCTAATTTGGTCAATATGACGTTTCACGGTTTTATCCCCATGTTTAATTTCATAGTGAAGATCTCCGAGGCGAGCAGTCATAACGCCTGGGAGCCATTTGTCCATGTTTTTGTTTCCAGATAAGAAGTATACATCTTGTCCAACGTTTAGTATGCGGAAGGTAGAGCTCATGTTTGCTTGATGTTTCTGGGTGACTCTTGTCTGGACATCGTCAGGTCTTGTCAGGTCAAGACGAGTTCGTAGGTCGCGCCCTAGGAAAAGTCGGGCCGGTGGAAGCATCGTAACGGAATGTGGAGCCTTCCGGTATTGACGAAGGAACTCGTTTAGGTTGCTCCGGAGCGTTTCTTTGGTTGTTTTCATTGCGTAAAGCGCATCCTTCACAGTTTGAATGTAGCGTTCTGCTTGCCCGTTTGTAGAGGGATGGTAAGGTGCCGACAGATTGTGATACTTCACGCCACTATTTCGTAGGAAGCTTTTAAAGTCATCTGCGATGAACTGCCTACCATTGTCTGAAACTACCGTAACTGGCACACCGTATGCCGTGAATAAATCGTCCAGGATTGTAATTGTGGCGGTGGCTGTCGTGGAAGTCGTAGGTCTTACTTCAAGCCATTTACTGTAGGCATCTACGATGATCAATAGCATTTTGTCTGCTACTGGACCCGCGTAATCAATGTGAATGCGTTCCCACGGTGCTTTAGGGTATTCCCAGTGATGTTCTCGAAACTTGGGCGGAACGTGAGCGTGTCTGATACAATCTGTGCAGGACTTTGCTACATTCTCAATGTCCGTGTCGATTCCCGGCCAAAACACAAAGGAACGTGCCATTGCCTTCATCTTGACTATACCTAAGTGGGCCGCATGCAGGTCTTTGAGGATAGCGTGTCGTAACGTCGGTGGTACGACCACTCTATGTTCAAACATCAGACAGTTCGCAGCGAGTGTATACTACTTAACCTCTGGCGCTTTAAAACCATGTTGGGCTAAGTTTTGGCCCGTTTCTAAAAGTTGAATAATTCGGCCGAGATGCAAGTCTTTTCTAGTTTCGGATTTGACAGGGAGCTGTTGAATCTGATGAATTGTGAAAAAATCGAAATCGTCAAACCCATAGGTACTTCACAGTCGCCGAAATTAAGAAATTAGCAAAACGTTGCGACTTTCAAAAGGAAGAGAACATGATTAGGGATAGGCTCGTGCTAGGGATTCTTGACAAAGGCGTGCTAGAGATTCTTGACAAAGGCTTGCAAGAGAAAATTTTAAACATGGACCAGTCTGACTTGGGAACAGTGATTGAAGCTTGTCGCACCAGTGAAGCGTTAGGATCTCAAATGAAAAGCATCCGCGATAGCAAAAATTTACAGGTGACAGAAATCAAAGGAAAACGCGAGGGAAAACGTGAAGGAGTGCGATCTACTAAATCCGATACCCAAACTGCTGAAAAAGGGAAAGGTGTTCCTCTGTACACCGTGTAATTTGAAGCATGGAATTAACAAGTGCCCAGCGTTTGGAACCAAATTCCATAAGTGTGGGAGATTAAATCATTTCAAGGTAGCTTGTAAAGTTATGGATGTGAGGACCGTCGAAGCCGTAGAAGACGAATCGACTAAGAACTGGTGGTTCAAACACTTAGTTACAGTTCAGATGTCATAAAAACAGTCGATATGTGTAGTAGTGCTTGGTACACCATCACACCTATTTCTTCCGCAACCTTATTCGCCCACAATTTCCTCTGAATATCCCGAGAATGATACCTATTGTTTTCATGTCCCACAACGGCGACTTCCCGCGAGTAGCAACAATCAACTTTTCGTTCTCCATGTCGAAAAACAAACACAATCCTGTACACAACGTAGGGCGATTATAAGCGACTAATAATAAGGAACCCCCCTGTCGCGCGACTACGCTTCCAATGGAGGATCAGCCTGAGATACGCAGCGCCAAATAATTTATTATATATATATATATATAATATATATATATATATATATATATATATAGCGAAATTGGTGATCCAGTGAAAAGCACTCAATCATTAGGAGGTACTACATCTACATCTAACCAGCAAATACCTGTTACAAAAAGTAGTGTAGAAGAGCGGCAAGTAGCGGTAGCAGAAAGGAAACTGGTTATTGAAGAACATAAAATGCATTAGAAAATAAAAAGCTTGATTTAGAACATAAGGAACGCATGGAAAGGCTAGAAATAGAAAAAAATAACTAAAACAGAGTTAGAACAAAGAAAATTATGAAATTACTTGTTTCGCAACAGCAACTTATAGCTAATAATCTTGCAAAGAAATAAAAATAGTGTTTTATTTATCAACATATGTACATATCAATAAAATTTAATTCAGTATACCAAATACTCATTAAGGGTTGGTGGTACAGTTTGAAAATAAATAGCAGTTTGACTACCGTACAGACGTGTGGCAATTAGTAAGTAATATTGCCACTTTATACATAGTTGGTAAATCTTGCAATAATTTTTGATTTTTTCTAAAATCTACAAATGTAAATGCTTTTTGAAAACCCCATTCTACTGACACTCTCAAATTTTTCATTGAACGATTAAATTCCTGTTGATATGGAAGTAGATCATCAATCCTTCCTGGATAAGGTGTAAGAAGCAGCTCCATTAAGCCATAAGCTGGATCGCCATACAGACAATAGTTCTCATTTGCATTAAACACGGCTTTCTGCTCCAATTCATCATATAACAAGGATTCCCTGAAAATTGCAGCGTCATGTCTTCTGCCGTGGTAAAGCACCCTCCAAGCTGGCTATTATACCATTTGGACACATCATTGACTGAAATTTCAGGCAGTGGAACGGCTTATGACCAGAATTATATTGCTTTTGGTCTAGTGATGGCCGACAGATCTGCCTAGCAGTTCCATCAATACACTCCCAACAATTAGCTATTACTCCTCCTTTTGCTTCAACAGCCTAAAAAAAATAATGAAAGTATACATAACATTCTACAGCGCAAACGATATATATATATATATATATATATATATATATATATAATACCAAAATTTATTTAGGCGACTGCGTATCTCAGGCTGATCCTCCATTGGAAGCGTAGTCGCGCGACAGGGGGGTTCCTTATTATTAGTCGCTTATAATCGCCCTACGTTGTGTACAGGATTGTGTTGTTTTTCGACATGGAGAACGAAAAGTTGATTGTTGCTACTCGCGGGAAGTCGCCGTTGTGGGACATGAGAAACAATAGGTATCATTCTCGGGATATTCAGAGGAAATTGTGGGCGAATAAGGTTGCGGAAGAAATAGGTGTTGATGGTGTACCAAGCACTACTACACATATCGACTGTTTTTATGACATCTGAACTGTAACTAAGTGTTTGAACCACCAGTTCTTAGTCGATTCGTCTTCTACGGCTTCGACGGTCCTCACATCCATAACTTTACAAGCTACCTTGAAATGATTTAATCTCCCACACTTATGGAATTTGGTTCCAAACGCTGGGCACTTGTTAATTCCATGCTTCAAATTACACGGTGTACAGAGGAACACCTTTCCCTTTTTCAGCAGTTTGGGTATCGGATTTAGTAGATCGCACTCCTTCACGTTTTCCCTCGCGTTTTCCTTTGATTTCTGTCACCTGTAAATTTTTGCTATCGCGGATGCTTTTCATTTGAGATCCTAACGCTTCACTGGTGCGACAAGCTTCAATCACTGTTCCCAAGTCAGACTGGTCCATTGTTAAAATTTTCTCTTGCAAGCCTTTGTCAAGAATCTCTAGCACGCCTTTGTCAAGAATCCCTAGCACGAGCCTATCCCTAATCATGTTCTCTTCCTTTTGAAAGTCGCAACGTTTTGCTAATTTCTTAATTTCGGCGACTGTGAAGTACCTATGGGTTTCTGACCGTTCCTCGCAATGTATCGAGTTACGTGGCGGCAAACCGTATAATTAAGTAGAATGTATTAGGTTACGTAGGGGCGGTAAACCTATGTAAGTTAATTATTAGAAAGTGAACACAAAACCTTCCCCATACACTTGGAATAATCTTTAATTGTAATGCGACATGTTTCGGCTAACAAGCCATCATCAGGCCTAAAATGTTGTACGATTACAAATTTGTCTCACAAGAGTGATAAAACTTACAAGATGTTATAATATCCGAACGGCTTCGAAATATTAATAATACAAGTTAAAAATTAATCGACCCTGACGGGGACGAAGAATTGAGCAAGTTTAAAGATCGGGAGTCCTGAAGGGAACAACCGACCGAAGAACACAGCAACAACTAAAACTTAACGATTAATAATCTCTTAACATAGCAAATATAACTTACAATGAGAGGTCGACCCACAATCGGTACGACATCGAACAAGTACGGTCCAAAGGCCTAGACGGGGGAAGAGGACCGAGCAAGTGAAAGGTCAAGAAACCCTGAAGGAGTAACTAACCGACCATCACACATCAACCACATCAAATCTAAAATAAAGAATATGTTAACATAACCTATCTCGGCGGAAAAACCTTACTTACAGATTGAAATAATTACATTACTAGACAGAACATGGTCGAAATTAAGGATTTCACCCACTACACAGCGGGATGATTAAAGTAGTCGAAAAGTACGTTAATACATGTTAAAATTGAACCGGTCAATTCAAGACGCCGTGACAAACAGTGGAACAGAAAAAGTCAAAACCCCTAGATATCACTACAGTTACTAGGAATGTACATGGTGTTGCAATATACAAGGTGTTACAAAAGTAATAAAAATTAATTAAGAAATAGCAAATTTTTGTCCGGGTAAGTGATTTCATTGAGGGATGTACTGGGATTCTCCTTAACACGTTTGTGAATTTCTTTCATTTCGAGGCAATCAAATTTTATGCTTTTATTGCAAAAACGAAGGAATTTAACATTATTAGAACGGGTGTCCAGTTTCCAAAATATGAGAGGCAAAAAGATTTGTTATCTAAATTATATTTAATGTAATTAATGTGTTCAGCAATAGCCCCGAACCTCCTCCCCGTTTGGCCCACGTATGAAGCAGGACACCCTCTGCACTGTAATTCATAAACGCCGGATTTATCTGAGTTGTCGACTACATCTTTAGTATGAAATAGTTGACTAAGTTATTCTTAGAAGAGAAGGAAATATTGATATCGTATTTTTTAAACAAATTCTGAAAATGGTAAGAACTAGGTCCTATAAACGGTAACGGAAGGTACCTATGAGGTAGGATTTGTTAACGGTGAAGCGAAGTGATATCTTTGAGCTGTTTATATTAAAAAGGATTTTATTGTGTAACTTTTGAATCAAGTGTAATGGATAACTATTATTTTTAGCAATTTTGAAAATGATGTGTAATTCGGAATTGAAATTTTCTGTGTTGAGGGGTAAGTTATGAAGGCGGTTGAGGTAAAATCGGAAGGCCGCCATTTTATGAGAAAAGGGGTGGAAAGAATTGAACGGTATAACGTGGTCGGTAGTAGTGGGTTTCCTGTAAATGTTTATGTCAAGATTGTGGTTATTCCTCGTGATACTAAGGTCTAAAAAGTTTAAAGTTCTACTTTCTTCTATTTCTAAAGTGAATTTAATTTTGAGGTGTATTTAATTTAATATTTGTTTGCATTGTTGCAATTCCTGAAGGTTACCTTTAAACGGGACCAAAGATATCATCCACATACCTCCTATAGAATTTAAATCGATCAGTGATGAAGCTGTTGTTGAAAATGTGATTATTCTCCAGGCCGTTCATGAATATCTCGGTTAATAAGGGTGACAAATTGCTGCCCATAGGCAATCCATCAGATTGGATGTAGGTATTATTATTAAAAATGAAAAAGTTTTGACTACGACAGATACGCAAACACTCGATCAAGAACTCGCAGACACGATCCGAGCTACTGGAATTATCCAATAGAGGTTTGTTTTAAATAACCCAGACATTCCTCGAAAGGAATACTGGGAAAGAGGTTGACGGACATCAAAGGAGACCAACAAATGATCTTTAATATTAAGGGCAGTAAGCTCGGTCGCAAAATGTTGCGAATTATTAATCGAATATTTGAAATCAAAAGTTATACAATTTCTTAAAGTCTGATTAAGCCAAGCAGCTATCTTAGAAACTGGAGTGTTACAAAATGAAACAATAGGTCTAATTGGATTGTCTTTTTTATGAATTTTCGGTAGAGCATAAAGTCTAGGCATGTACGGATTCATGAGGAGCAAGCGAGACGGCTGGATATTAAAAATTTCGGTAAAAATATTATTATTAGACTGAATAAATCGGCGAATCTTATTGGCAAATGAATTTAAACTAATTTTGTTAGATCTTTTGAAATCATCTGTATCAATGAAATCATTCACCTTCCCAATATAATCATGTCGATGCATAATCACTACCGCATTGCCTTTGTCGGCTTTGGTGCAAACAAGATCGTTGGTTTTTAGCTTTTTCTTGATTTTGTCCAGAATTAATTTATTATTGAATTTGCCTTTTGGCACTTGCAGAGATTTAGGTTTTTGACTACAAATAGCTCTCACATTATTTTGGTCTGAGTGATTGACATTTTTTAAGATAATACATTCTAAATCCACTTTGAAATCGTCGTCCACCACCACCCTTCCTCGTCCCGGAAACGTGCATTTTTCGTACTTATGAAACAAATAACTATTGTGTACTTGATTTAGACTTAAATTCATACCTAAGAAATAAAACTTGATGATTCACCTTAGTTTTGTTTTTACCAACCAACCCCGAGACGTGTACGAACCTTCCCCGGATGCGGGGTTGCTTGGTACATTTGCAACCTTGAAAAAGTCAATATTTTCTGATTTTAAATGATGTCCAAATATGACCGTATTTGAGAATTAGGTAACCAAAATATCAGTAATCAATACGCTGGACTTTTTTTTTCTCTATTCATCAACAAAAAAATAGGGAACGCCTTGATATGAAAAGCGTACCAACCAACCCCGGTCTCCCCTACTTAGATTATTTTCTCAAGTTGCCAATATTCGCATCTGTCAGATTCATTATTAATGTACTACAGTATTTGCAGAGTAGTCCAAAAATTAATTCATCTGTCGACTACACTCAAGGCCGGATTGTGCCAGAAATCAAATTAAATGAACGCATCCAGGACCAGGACCAAAACTGACTAGGAAATAAAATGGACAAGTAAGTACCTACCTCTTAACTTACTAACATAAAACACAATTAACTGTTTATGCTATTATTTGCAGATTTGTTGTGAGAAAACCTGCTCCGAAGTCTTCATAAACTGGGTTTACTACATCAAATGTGTCTGAAACCGCAAGTACTTCAAGAGCAAGTGAATCGGAACCTCACAGACCTATGGATGCAGACTCCAGCCTGATTCTTCATCACAAAATGACGAAAATGAGCCACCGCTCAAGAAGAAGAATAAATCATATCGCCAAAAGTACATCACAAAATGGGCCGATGAAAATTCATCTATTTCTGAGTGGTTGGTAAAAACAAAAAAGGGCATGATGTGCTAAGTTTGTAATATAGATATATTAGGAGATATAACACATTAAAATGCACGAAAAAACTACAATGCATAAAAAAAATATTAATGCTGCTAAATCTTCCGGCAAAATGACCGACACATTTATTTAAAAAAACTACTACCCTAAATAAAAAGGTGAAAAGAGCTGAAACAAAGCTTGTAATGTATGTAGCAGAACAAAATAAGTCTTTTAGATCTCTGGATACCCTTTCAAAATTGATTGGTGACATTTGTCCAGATTCGGAGATCGCAAAACAAATCAAATGTGGACGAAAGAAAGGGACGAATATTTGCTTACATGTGAATTGTGCAAATTAACCACTATTTTATGAAAAACACATTTTTCAATCATCTTAGACGAGACAACTGATGTTAGTACTGCCAAATGTTTGACTGTGTTGGTACGCTACGTAAGGAAATTAATCCCAACATTTTTTGTATTAGGTTGCACCTGTCATTCATTTCATCTTGCTGCATCAGGTGCTTGCAAGAAACTGCCTAGCTATGTTGAACGGTTTGCAAGAGACGTTTGAAATTATTTTGCCCACAGTAGCAAAAGAGTAAGCGAGCTGAGAGAATGTCAAGTGTTTCTTGATTTGGAGCCTCATAAAATTCTGAAGTTGAGCCAAACTAGGTGGCTTTCATTAGAGGCAGTAGTAAACCGCCTATTAGAACATGGTCAGCATTGATACTCACATTTACTGCAGCTATTCATGAAGGAGACGATACACAAGATTTCACCGCAATATTGAATGCCCTGAATAATCCACACTGATGGGACGATGGGTAGAGAATACTCCTCACGCCACGCACAAGACTATTTATTTCAGGGTTAGGTTCCGACAATATTTACAATTCTTAACAACTAACAATATACAAAAGGTCCAAACGTTCACGTCGCACTGTCACGAGCAGGTAGCGGTCGAGATGTTACCTGTTGTTCGCTCGGGATACCATAAGCCATCGTAGCGTCTGTATGGAACCGGTTTACCGAACTTGCTTCCTTGCCGTTCCGGGTCCGTCGTATTCTGTCTTCGCGCGTGTCCGGTGATTTTCCCGAATCAATAATCCCGCCGGTCATTTCCCCGCCGGTAATTTCCCCGTACGGTAATATTCCCGACCGGAGAAATTCCCCTTGGTCATTTGGCCGCCGTAAAAATAGCCCGCGTAAACTAATTGCCCGTCTTTGCCATTGTTAGAATGTTATTATACAAACTTTTCCTTTTTCTCTATCTTCTTTGATGGATACAAAAACTAAAAATGATTGCTAATACAAAATTTATTAATTAATTGAAATTACTTATAGATAACTTAATATTATAATAATCTTCATCGTCAAACATTTAAATTTAAATTATGGGCTAGCCCTCTTAGAAACGCTACCTTTTCATTGGCGTCGTACCTTGCTACACAATTTTTAATTCTAATATTTAAATCTCGATATTTTTTTTTCTGTCGAGGTCCGTCTCGTCCTTGGATATAGTGGGAAATGGCGATTTCATTCATATGTTGCTCTTCCTTTATTGCAGCAATAAACCTCCAGATACTTGGATGCTGAGCAGATATGAGTTCTGTAAAACGACGATGCCAACCTTCAACAGAGTTGTTAGTTCTCGGAAGGTCATTGTTTGTAGCGTCATAGAAATTCCATAAATTATATTGAAATAACGGCGGTCTACGGATATTTCTATGTGGGCGTCCAATCCAGACATCTTCAAAGTAGTCGCATATAGGGTGGAGGTCGATTTCGTTTCTGTAATATTCTGTGTCCATGAGTTCTTCGAATCCCAAAACCACATCATGTAAAGGTAAAAACGATATTGCAGTTAACATCTTAACTTGAACAGCAAATTCAACATCATTCGCGTAACGTACTGCTTTCCCGTGTTCTTGTACCTTCCTCCATATACACTGACCCAAGTGGAAGAAGCACCCTATTTGAAAAAAAAAATGGTTTACGAAATTTTTTTTGTTTCAATAAGTCTCACCTCTAACCAATATTTCTGGGAACTCCGTTTGGAACGCTTCAATTGCAGCACGTTCAAAGTCTATCATTATGGTAGACGGTTTTAAATTTGGTCTAAGTCCTTTTAGTGCTTGTATCATCTCTTGATAAAGAACTTTACTTTTACCAGGCAGTAAGACGAAAACTGATGGTATACAAGTATTAAATCTCACACCGTGTATCGTATACACTTGGGTAAAGAGCGGTGGCGTGGTTTTGAAGGTACCATCTGCATACCAATGTTCACATCTGAAAATGAGAAATTCATGATTATCGTATAAACTAAGAGGTCATAGGGTTTACCTTTCCAGTAGTTCCAAATTTCGTTGGGTACTGAAGATTAATATTCGGTGTTCAGTGTCTGGCCCATTGTCGAACAAAAGAAATGGTTCTTGCTGACCATTCACACATATAAGACGCATGTCATCTGGAATGTTCAATTCTCGCAGTGAATTTGGATTTGCAGGATAGTTCCCTTGAAGTTGTCGTTGCCGCCTAATAGTTCGTTTGATGCATTCCACATTCGGTAACTTAGCTTGAACAGGTTCGAGTAACTGTGAGGATTCCACAGCAATAACAGCGTAGCCGGCATCTCTTGTTGTCTTTGCGCGCTCTTTAATAGAATTAATTGCTTTCCTCGCTTCTATTGCAGCAATATCTGGAACGTGATTGTGGTCCAGCAATGACTTAACTACTGCATCGTTTAGAGTATGCCGTCTAGCTGAACATTTCCCTTTCTTTGCTTCTACACACTTCCAAAATATACGACCATCGTCCGCCATTTTATCTTTCTCAAATAAATATCCTTCTAGTACGAGCATATCTTTACCTAAAAACAAATCAATTGTGATTACACTCTAAAGAAATTTTGTACTCGAGGGGGAAACAACTATACAATTAGGTGTAGGCACACAAAAATTGAAATTCAAAAAAACTCGAAAAAATTCGGATAAATTCAAAAAATTTATAGGGATTTCATACTATTAATTTTTTGTTAGGTTTTGGACGGGTTCTAAATTAAATTTTGAATTGGTAGGTGCAATAAAAAAAATACAATATACGTAGTTGGGTTATTTCATAGGTATTTCCAATTTTACAATTCAATAATACCGGGACTTACACTCATACATTACAGGATTTTACGAAAATTAAAACAAAAAATATCAGGATAAATTTGTAAAATTCCGAAATAATTCCTGAAAATTCAAATGAAATAAGCAAAAATTCCGAGATAAAATACAAAAAATTCAGACATTGTCAAAATTCATCAAGTTATATGGAAATCAAGAATATTCAAAATCAAGTATATTACGTAGGTATATTGACTATACGAACACGTTTAATAGTTTATTATATTTTCTTTGGCTATCGATTTCGATTCTAACGAATCATCATCAGGCCGAGCTAAAAACATGTATATCTCAGATGTTGTAACATTAAATCCAAAGAAAATATAATAAACTATTAAACGTGTTCTTATAGGCAATATACCTACGTAATATACTTAATAATCAGGACACGTTTCATGGAGCACTTCATAAGAAGAATTCAAAATCAAATCAAGAAAATTCACGCAAATTAAAAAAAATTCAACTAAATGTACACAAAAATTCAAAGTGGTTTTCCCCTCGTTTGTACCTTTCTTTACACTCCTCCAAACAACAAAAATAGTAACCATAAAAAATAATAACGAATGCAGCAGGAATTAAATAAATAATAGTAACTCTTACCTCTTTGACTTTTTAAAAACTGTAACGCCATATCTATTACAAATAACACACACACGCACAAAGCAAAAGAATAATTAAATCCAGACCATTTTAAAATTACCTATTTATAATAATTAGGCCATTAGTCTTAAAGCTAATGCTCCAATCATCGGGGGAGAAAACTTTCTATTTTAATTTCAGCACATTAGGACATATCTGAGTAATATGCCTTATTAATATTATAATAGCAATATTCTTAATATTTTTTTAATTAGCGCAGGAGGGAACTTTCTATTGCAATTTTAGCATATCTGAGGAATAATCTACCTATTGGTATCTTAAATCTTATAATTTTTTTAAAATCGACATAATTATATTATTGAATTATTTATTAGTCATATTAAAATTATTACATAGTGGTTAACTTGCCTACTGATTGCTCGCAGGAAGTCTTTTGTCAATTGACCGCCGGGGAATTGACCGTCGGGGATTTGTCACGGCGGGCATTTTCTCAGCGGGAAATTTACCGCGCGGGATTTTTACCAGGCGGGCATTTCACCGGCTGGCAGTTCACCGGCGGGATTTTGTCGGCGGGGAAATGACCGTGAATCGTCTTCGCGAGCTCGTGACCTATTAGATTTTGTGGCTGTGACATCTAGGGTTCGCTTAACACAGTTGTAGGGGCGCGTGGGCGTGATTGTGTAGGTGAGAGAGAGGTGGCGTTAAGGGTATGTTACACTCTCCCCCTCTAGCCCATTCAGGCGTCCCGACGATGGGGCTAGGACTATTGCTTTTTCCTGGGGCGTCCTCTGCGTCGTACCAAGCCCATGGGTTGGTGATTTTCCGTTCCGTGATAGGGCTGTAGTGCGGCCACATGGTACTTGCCAATCGGCTGATCCGGAGTTGCGGGGTCAGCTACTTCGTAACTGGTTGCGGAAACTTGTTGCAGAACGCGATACGGGCCGTCTCGCCTGGGTGCCAATTTTGCGGATATGCCTTTAGCTGCATTACTGAGGGTGTGCACGTTGACGAGGACTAGGTCTCCTGGAGCGAATGCGGGGGTGTCCCGACGTTTCTGGTCTGCGTAGTCTTTTGCTCGGTCTTGCTGGATTTCCTGGGTTTCTCGCGCCTTCCTTAGAGTTTCGGTGAGCCGTAGCAGATGAGGGGTTATTTCCGGGAGGAAGTTTTCGCTGAGTATGATAGCGCGTTGGTCCTTAGGTCGCGCCCGAAGGTGAGGTAGGCGGCAGAGTAACCGGTGGACTGGTTCTTACTGGAGTTCATGGCGAAGCGGATGGCCGGTAACATTTCTGGCCATTCTGGTGTCTTGCCTTGGACTAGGATGGCGAGTCTTGGCTTGAGATCGCGGTTTTTCCTTTCGACTGGGTTTGCTTGCGGGTGGTACACCGGGGTAAGCACTTGTCGGATGTCGAGGCAAAACGCCACGTGTTGCATGATGGCACTTACGAATTGAGTGCCGTTGTCGCTGATGATTCGTCGAGGTACTCCGAATCTCAGGAACACTTCGCTTATCAGCGTTTGGGCGCAGGTCTGGGCATCGGGCCGTTTTTAGGGCGAACAGTTCTACCCAACGAGAGGCTACGTCCTCGATGATGAAGATCCACCGCTCCTCTCGTGTTCCTGGCGGTAGTGGTCCAAACAGGTCGATTGAGAGCTGCTCGAATCGCTGGGTGGCCGCGGGTGTCTGGAGTAGCCCTGCGGGTTTCAGGTTTGTGGCTTTGAATTTTTGGCATTCCACGCAGTTACGGACGTACTGCGCTATGTACTTCCGCATCCCGACCCAGTAGTAGCGGCTGGCGATTAGGTCGTGTGTGCGTTCGCTCCCATAATGTCCTGCCGTAGGGGCATCATGGTAGTCCTTCATCACTTGTTCTCGTTCGGTATCGGGCACGACTAGTTGGGCGTCCTCAGAGGTGGAGTCGGGCGAGTACCGGTATAGGATCCCTTGACTCATGAGGTAGCCTCGCTCGGCCCATCGGGAGCATTCCTCTGGGGTGCCAGTCGTAGAGGTTTCGAAACATTCCACTATTTTCTTAAGTTCAGGGTCGGCCATCTGTGCTCGTCGTATTTCGCTCGCGGGGCGCTTGGGTATGTCGACGGTGACGGTACAGACGTGGCACGTTTCTTGCGTGTGAGGCGCACATGGTGGGCGAGACAGAGTGTCCGCTACGACATTACTCTGGCCGGGCACATACTGGAGGGTGAGGTTGAAGGGCTGCAGAGCGAGGGCCCACCTGGCGAGTCGCCCCGTTGGCGTTTTGATGGCCATGAGCCACTTTAGCGGCTGGTGGTCGGTTGCCAATGTGGTGTGTGCTCCTTCGATGTATCCTCGGAACTTTCCAACGGCCCACACGATTGCGAGTGCTTCCCGCTCCGTGGTGGAATAGTTCCTCTCTGCGGGGTTGAGGAGGCGGCTAGCGTACTCGACCGGGCACTCCTCATGTTTATTGCCTTGGGATAGGACGGCTCCCAGAGCGTAGCCGCTGGCATCAGTTCGGAGCGTGAAGGGTAGGCTGGGGTCCACTTGGCGTAAGATGGGCGCGGTTGTTAGCCGTTTCTTCAGCTCGTCGAAAGCCTGCGTCTGTTGCTCGGTCCACTTCCAGGGCGCGTCCTTTTTTAGTAGGGATGTCAGCGGTTTAGCAATGGAGGCGAAGTTTTCCACAAACTTGCGGTACCAGGAGCAGGTCTGCAGGAAACTCATCAGTTGTTTGACGTTTTGCGGTGTACCTAGGCGGGCGATGGCGCTAGTTTTCTCTGGGTCGACGCTGATTCCTTGGGGGGTGATTAAGTGACCCAAGTAACGCCCTTGACTACACGCGAAGTGGCACTTTTCGCGGCGAACGTGTAACTTGAACAGCGCGAGTCGGTGAAACACTGCGTCAAGGTCCGTCAGGTGTTGCTCTACGCTTCCGGATAGCACTATAATGTCATCTAGGTACGCGAGCACGGTTACACCGGTGAGGCCGGTCCGAAAACGGTCGATCAACCGCTGGAAACTCGCGGGGGCATTCCGGAGACCGAATGTCATTTGCCTAAACCGATATAGGCCAAACGGAGTGACGAATGCTGTTTTATCGCGATCCGCAGGGCGTACGACGATTTGCCAGTAGCCGGCGCGTAGGTCTAGCGTGCTTATCACACGTGCTCTCGCGGCGTGGAGGAGGTCATCCATCCTCGGCAAGGGGTAACTATCGGCGATGGTAAGGGAATTGAGGCGGCGGTAGTCGATGCACACCCTTATGCCTCCGTCTCGTTTGGGAACCATTACGACGGGGGAGGCCCAGGCGGAGTCGCACTCCTCTATTACCCCCAATTCCAACATGCGAGTGAGTTCCCTTTGAAGTAGGTCTCGCTTGGCTGGTGGCAGGCGGTATGGTGGTGCGGCGACAGGTGCGCTGGAGCCGGTGTCGATTCGGTGTTCATAATAAGGGGTTGAACTTATCTCTTCCGCGAAGAGTTGGTGGTGGATGGCGAGCAGGCGGTTGAGCTGGTCGCGCTGTGGCGCGGGGAGATCCACTGCTTCATCCGGCCGTAGCTCCAAGGCGTGTATCACCACCGTGTCGAGTTGAGTTGAGGCGTCGGCGTCGTCGTGGGGACTGGGGAAACAGGTCCTGCGGTACGTCGCGTGTGTCCTCGTACAGCTCCCAGAAGTATTCCGACGCGGGATCGTACTCGGCGGGTCCTGGTTCGGGATTTGGGTCAGGATCCGGCCCGAAGAGGTGGCGAAACTGCGCGTTTAGCCAGCGCGGATCTTCTCGGGGCGGCATTGCTGCATTGGCGGGTGTAGGCGAGGTGGCTGCCTCTCTCAGACAGAAGCTCGCGAAGAATTCTTCCGCCGGTTCTCCCAGGAGTTTGTAGTGTACGTCGGGTCTGTCCGTGAATGTGTACGTTCCTCTGGGTAGATCGAGAACCATCCCGGTGTCGTAGATGAAATCGATACCGAGAAGAGTTCGTGTGTGTTGTCCAGGGAGGACGTAGAAGGTTGTTGGTACCACCTTATTCTCGAGGTGGACTGGCACTGTGGTGCACAGCGCCTCCTGTGGTCTATTCTCGCCGTCTGCCAACACTAGGTTGATCGTCTGTGGTACGAAGGGATACCCTTGCTGGCGGAGCACCCGGTACATTGAGTGTCCAGCG